GTTTATTTGGGACTGTTTTCCTTCTGAGATTAAATGCAATTATTGTAAGTTGTGCATTATTATTATTATTATTATTATTATTATTATTATTATTATTATTAACTTCGGTGAGAATAGTCATAAGACAGCTTTTTATTAGAAGTTGATGCTTGATGGAAACATAGTTAAAGCTATAATCCTTCAGGTGTTCATGAAGTGAAAGCATTCAGTGTATTTACATTCTTTAAACACTGACGAGGGATCCTGTTGGTTATTTGATGTGACTGATATCAGCCTCACTCTCCTGCAGTCCTATCAGAGCTGCATTCAACGCTTCAACCTTGTTTTCAACCAACTGTTCAGGTTCCCAACCGATTTATTTTTGGTTCAACGCTCCGAACAGTTCCCTGTTGGTGGAAGAGGCCTGTCAGTGCTGTAGTGCAGGTTATACCCACTCCTAAATCCCCCATGATGCTCCTCATTCACTACTGTTCTTTTAGACGCCATGACGTAGTTCAGTTTTCATGTGGATGTAGTCAGGAATAAGGAATACTTCAGTCAATAAGCATAATGAAGTAGTGGTCTGAGCCTGTAGTCTGTGGGTCAGTATGGATTCTTCTGTTGCTAATGTTCATTTCATAATGATCCTCAGTTAGTGACAATATGAAAATACTAGCAGCACATTTTAGAGTGAGCTAAATATGCAACAGTGGTTTTAATGTGTCACTCTTTATAACACACTGTAAAACTATTTACATGACTAATGTGAAATAAACACTGTGACTGGAAATAATCAGAACATTACTGCTTATTTAATGAACATTTCCTTTTATTATTTAATAGATTAAATTAATAATTAATAGGTTAAATTCATTCATCATTAATACATTTCTAAAGTTATGTAAAATTAGTGACATTAACAATAGAAATGTTTTATAATTAGTCAGTGTAATCAGTGAGGCCCCGCCCCCAGAAACAGTCTGTTTTCAACCTAATTCTTGTCTCATCTGTGGTCTGATAAACAGTAAATGAAGTCATTGAAGTGTCCATATCACTATTGTCCTGGGTTCATCTACAGTAGGTTAAACAATGATAGATACAGCTACTGAGGCACACACACACATCTCTCCTCACACTGCAGATCTGCCACAGCAGAAGCTAAAGTCAGGTGGAGAAAGAGCCAACTGAGTCCTGCCTGAGTTGGAACTGATGAACTGTCTGTATTTGCAGCTCTTGGAGCAAATACTGAGACTGCTTCATTATATGTATGTACACATTGACATATCTCAATACATTGTGACATCATGAAGGAGATAGTTTGATATCATTATTGTACAAATGAAAAGTGTTTCTGTTACTGACATTAAAATGTTTTTGAAATAAAGGTGAATATTAAAAGCTTGTTTTGCTGAACGCTTCAGTTATTTAATGATTGATAAAGTAGTTCTGTCAGTCTGTCTGTCTGAGGCTGCTTCATGCTGACACAAACCAACAGCTATAACAAATATGAGGAAACTGAACCTCCTCCTGTTTCCTCAGAAGTGATCTGTGGCAGTCGGACTTCATTCCAGAGAGCTGCTTTATCAAACTCTGAACCTGATCCTTCTCTGCCTCCTTTCAGTCCAGTGACTGCTGTCTGTGTCCGGTGGGAAGCCCTTTACTTATTTCAGCTTTTAAAGGTCCAGTGCGTAGGTCGATAAAAACGTCTCATTCTAAGGTAACGAACACACAACCATTCTTATTTTCAGCTGATTAAACACTAATGAAAACAAACCTATGGATATTATATTTCTGACAATAGATCCTCCTCAGTGTTACACATCAATAAAGTGTTTCTGATCCTGATTTACATCCCATAACTTACTGATTTTACCCCAAAAGCATCTTTTCTGAAACATAACCAAGTGCTCTTGTTGCTTCAACCAAATAGTGTGGCTATGTGGAGGCTAACTTGCATATGTTTTGCATAATTAGCTAAATGAACCAGAAGTGGATCTGTTTATTCTAAAATGCAGGTCTAATGTATTAAGCACATAACCTCAAAATGGACTCAAAAATAATGAAACTCAGAGTTGAAATATAACCACTTCCAGTTTAAAGGGCCAAGCAGCTGCTGGAATATTGTCCATATGGGTGATTATGCTAATGAATTACAATCTGTGACAATAACTTACAATGTGTAACTGAGTCCACTGGGACCAGTTTGCCTTAATCCAATATATATTTTAATCTTTTTGTATTACAGTTCTGCACAAAGGTGCTTTATAAATAAAGTTCTGATTGAATTCAGTCTGCTCTCAATAAAAAGTCTTCTTAGAAATCAATGAACCACTTTGTGTTTTGTCTTCAGACCAGTCAGAGATCCTAGTGAAGCCTGGAGATGATGCTCCTCTTTAGTGTCGGGTTCTGTTGGACTGGATCATCTCTTAATTTATGCCTTAATTATTTATATTTGTGTCCTGCACTGAGCCAAAATACTGTAAAATCACAGGAAATATCTGCCAGCAGCGTGTACAATGTGCAACCTACTGCTTATTTCTAAAGAATACACCTAACTTAAGTGAAGTTTTTGATTTGATCCCCAGTTATTGTGCTAATATTAAGACTCAGGATTGTTTTATTTGGGATCTATTCTGCCCTCTAAACTTATAAATGTTTTATCTTGTGACAGAATTCAGTGTCGCTCTAACTTAAAGATTATACAACCATAAACTGTTACAATGCACACCCTGTAGCTACGTCATCATTTATGTAACTTCAACTTGTAACAGCAATTTTAACATTTTATAACAGAGATTTGATTGATACTCATTTATTTATAAAACAAGAATCTTATTCTAAGAACAAGTTTCCATAAATGTTACAATTTAAACACATTTAATTGGTTAAACATCTAAAAATTATATTTGAGGATTGCTTTATTCTTAATGACCCTTCAGTTGCAAACAATCAGAAATACAGAATCTGTATTATATATAATATATATGTGATAGATGAGTCTGTAGTTACTGCACTACCTATATATCTGTTTATATCGGTTTATATCTGTTTATATCTGTTTATGCTAATACAAAGACATTTACATTCTGTATGGTGAGGTAGAAATTACAGACAAAAATATATAAAATACTACACATTATTCATTCAATTAAAATGATTTCTTTAATTATTTATATTCATTTTTATTAGACATTAATATTATATCAATATTAAATTAAAGTTAAACAAGGTTGAATGTCCCACACATAAAAAGACAATTTTTAATAATAAAAATAAATACAGATTAATCATTTTATTCTTTATATTTCCCTTGGTGTCAATCAACAATAAAAATAAATGTGTTTTTATTTCTCTAATTTCTGCCAGAGACACGAAAACGTTTGGTCACTTTTATTTTGAAAATCCGTAAAGAAGGCGGTATCAGACACACGTGTACTTCCTGTAGCTAACACACTAACTCTGTCCGTTACCTATAATCAATACAGTGTATTGATACCGCAGGAGGGAACCAGTAGAACCAATGTGTGTCGGTTCGATCCCCGGCTCCTCCCGCTGCATGTCGAAGTGTCCTTGAGCAAAATACTGAACCCCAAACTGCTCCTGATGCTGAATCACTGTATGAATGAGTGAATGAGTGAATGTGTGAATGAGTGAATGTATGAATGAGTGAATGTGTGAATGTGGCTGTAGTGTAAATGGCTTTGAGTGGTCAGAACACTAGACAGACACTAAGTTCAGTCACTTTCTCTGATTGAATGAAGTTATTGTTTGAGTGTCAGTCAGCTGAACTGTTCTCATGTGTTTGAATCCATAAAGTGTTGTGAGCAGATGAGTTATGGATTCGATCATTTCACACTCTGTTTAGAGAATGATGAATATTGAGGAGAACAACTGTAAATAAAGCTCAAATGTACAGAAATCATTTCTCCACTCTGACAGCATCATGAAAATGGATCTAAAGCTGTGAGAATGATGGATTCAGGAGGCATCAAAACTTTGATTACAGTGCCCCCATGTGGCAGAGCGGGAGCAGATTTCTCTTATTGTATCTAGGTGTGATGATGGAGGCCATGTGTCTCAGATTGATGATTTCCTTTAATAACATAATGAGTGTAAACTGTGTCTGTAGTGACAGCGTCCATAAAGCGTTATCAGCAGTGAAATATCTGCAGCTTCCACAATCTAATATTGATTCTCACTAATTACAGTTGCTCAATCACATCAACTGTTAGTTGCCGCCTGTACGGCCTGTTGCTCTGCTCCATGGGGACGGCACACTCGTCACACTCCAGGAACTGTCTGAGTTGATTCTGGCGCCCCCTGTGGACAACAGCGGTAGTGTTTCTACTGCCTGGTTTCATTGATTTCAAGGGGAATCCGACCCGGTGGCAGACATTAACAATAACTATATAGAAATATCCAATCTTCTCTCTGATTGTTTATGTACAATAACTCACTGTAGGACATTTAAAGTAGTAACTCTATGATTCAACAGGTGAAGGTCCCATTGCGTCAAGCCCCGCCCCCTTTTAAGTGAAAGCACTGCCTCTAATTTGACTGGTGGTAAATGTAAATTCTGAGCTCGTAAAATAACATTACTGTATTGATTGTATCTATTAGGAGCATAAATCCTATATCCAGCAAACAATGCTGTTGTGTTGTTGTTCTATATAAAATACACAAATAGTTATTGATGAGTGTCCTGACATATACAGCGACCTTATTCAATCTCATATTTCTGCTGTCTGTCACTGTTTCTGTGCTTCACACTCTTTATTAACTGTTTGTGTCCAATGTGACGTTACTGTAAACTAATTCCAGGGTTTGTGTTTATTAATCCACCTTTTACTACGAGACCACAGAAGAAGAAAACAGGAGGGTTTATCTCCACTTCCTGTTACTCTCTGCTGTTTCCAAGGTTCATTATTAGAAGGTAGGTCAGCTCAGTTTATGGGAATTATTAAGGTTCAAATCCCCTCTGCTCCACACTGTCACACCAAACTCCATTCAAAAAACGGCTGTTTTAAGGAAGTAAAACCTTTATTTCCACCATCAGTGAGACTCTGATTCTCTTCAGTCTACAGACACAATCTGCTCACATTGACTCAGTAACATCATTAACTAACCTGTGAGGAAGAGTTGGACACACACACACTCACTGACTGTCTGTCATTAACTAACCTGTGAGGAAGAGTTGGACACACACACACTCACTGACTGTCTGTCATTAACTAACCTGTGAGGAAGAGTTGGACACACACACACTCACTGACTGTCTGTCATTAACTAACCTGTGAGGAAGAGTTGGACACAGACACACTCACTGACTGTCTGTCATTAACTAACCTGTGAGGAAGAGTTGGACACAGACACACTCACTGACTGTCTGTCATTAACTAACCTGTGAGGAAGAGTTGGACACACACACACTCACTGACTGTCTGTCATTAACTAACCTGTGAGGAAGAGTTGGACACAGACACACTCACTGACTGTCCCTCAGCAGATGCATTTATTTTATTCCACAGGAAACATATTCAGTCTTTGACACACATAGATTATATATATATATAAATATATATATTTATATATATATAAGATAATATATATTAACAGTCAGTAACTTTGTGGAGGTTTGTTCACACAGTTTTGGGTTGTGAGGTCTTGTGGCTCATGGATGTCATTGTGGAGTAGGTTGTGATGGAGCAGCCGGTCTTTATCCTTCATATAATTCAGAGAGGAGCTAAACCCCCCAAACACTCTGTATATGGGTATATAGTAGTGTGGCTGACTGATTCAGGCAGATCTTGACATTGTAGTGCAAACTATTAGAATTCTAGATATCTAGCTATAAAAGTGCACAGCGACGCCCTCTGCTGGTTGAAAGCTGCTTTTACAGTTGAATAGAAAAAGCTGTGAATGGCTTTGTTCACTTTTTCAGTCCAAACATTTGAGGAAACGTTGCTCGTTGTGTTGAAAACAGGAAGTGGGACAGTTTGCTCTTCCTGTGAATGTCTCTTATTTTGATGTTGTCCAGGTTTTATTGTCAGCGTGTCCTTGCTCAATCAGTTTATATTGTTAGAAGAATACAGAACCAATATTCCTACTAGAGACTGTATTCTACTGGATGGGTTACAGCAGTGTAGTTAACATGTGCTGCCAGCATTATTGTGTGTGTTTGGGTGGCTGGTTGACTTTATTTGAGTCTGTTGGTTAGTGAGTTGCTGTTGTTCACATTTTAAAGCTAAAGCTTGCTATTGCTTTTTCTCCTTCCTTCTCCTCAGGCCCACATCTCTGTGCTACCCCAGAATTTAGAGCCAGAGTTAATAAGAGGGTCTCAAACCAGTTTACTACATCCTGGCTCCCCCTTTACTCACTGTACCTCGAAGGCCTTGGTCACACTACAGGACTTTCAGAGCGCTCAGATCTCTGTACAGTTATCTCTGTACTGTATGTACTAAAACTATATAGTATTGAATTGACCTCTGAAGTAGAGCAGTGAGTTTCTGATTGAAGCTGCAGTAAATGAAGTGTGAACCTATGAGCCATAATAACCTGTGTGTAATGGGTCTGGTTTATTTGTTATTTAGAAGGCCAAGATACTGTTATCTGTGTATGTTTAGGTTCAGTTGGAGAACAGATCTAGTTGGTATCACTTATTCTCTACGTTGTAAAGAAAACTATAAAGTGGCCTGAGCCCCATGAAGTCTAGGAGTTTGATATAGAGTATAGCAGAAGAGAGAGAGGAGGTGCTCTGGAAACTCCACAGGTTGGAGCTCTTGGGATGGGAAAGGGAATATGTTGGGTTCTATGTGTTATGCTTTTGTTGTCTTGTCAGTGTGTTTGTATTGTGGTTCACATCATCACCTTCCCTCTGAGCTTCTATTAGTCATAAAAAAGACTGTGTAGGCCAGGTGTATTCTCCATCTTACTCCACTGGAAGTAGAGGCGTGGCTCTTCTCATTAGGAAACAGTTAGCTGTTGTCATTGAGACAGTCTGACCCAAACGGATGCTATGTGTTGATCCAAGATTATTTACAGAGAGAAAATATTGAATATATATATATGCCCCCCAAACTGTCCAAATACAGTTGTTATCAGTGTAAATAGCAATAATTACTGTAATCTCACGGATAATGACTTTTATTACAGTTCTATAACTTTTAACATTCACATTAAAAATTTAAATAAATAAATAAAATAGCAGTCTTGTAAAATAATTAGTATTATAGCAGTGTTCACCTGTATTAACAGCTCATTGCATTGTTTTTACATGTAATATTTATGTAAAATTCAATCTAAAAACTGTATTTTAATTACAGACTGTGTTTTTAAGAGTCTGAACCATCTTGAGGAGGTGTTTCAGGCCCTCGGTGGTTACGGCCTCAAGCTTCAGAAGGAAGTTCCTGGGACACAAAGTCAGCAGCCGAGGAGTCGCTCCTGACCCAGAGAAAGTGACAGCTGTATAAAACTGGTTGGAGAGGTCAAATAATTGATTTTTAAACAATGCAAATGACTTAGAGAATACATATTTAATAAGCACAGAACTGCAGTTCTACCTAAAACATTCGACTGGACAGGTAAAAACAATGGATGCTTTCAGTTTCATTTTGTCTCAGTAGTTACCACAGTCAGCCTCTAGAGGGCAGTATAGGGATCACATGTGGAACAGCAGACTTTAAACCTGTAACTATAAAGCTAAAACTCAAAGCTACAAGCAGCAATGGTCGGACCCTCGCTGCCCACACACATCAGGGTTTGCTGCACCAGTGTATCATGTGTGGACCACACCATGAACATCTCATGTAAATCAGATCAAGATCAGCACACAAAGCTTACTTCCTGTTTAGTATGTGGCGCTATGAGTATGACTGTGTGTGTGTGTGTGTGTGTGTGTGTGTGTGTGTGTGTGTGTGTGTTCAGGGTGTGACTCCTGTCAAACATTGACAGTTTCACTGAGGTTAGACAACTTCTTGTTTCATGGCGAAAGGTCGGAGTTCAACACCGCGGACCCGCCGTTTAACGTCCTTCAGGTCCAGTGTGTCTGTCACTGCTCTACTCTCCACCGCTCATATATGTCGTTTTGGGAGTTATTGGCAATCAACCAATAATGTTTGTGTGAAAGCTGCTCAGCCGGTTTCTTTCCATTCCAACGGCTGCTTCTCTGGAAACAGTTTAAAGTGAAACTAAAGTTTTCTCCTCACAGTGTCGGCAGATTATCAGGAGGAGGAAAGTGACAACTGGCTGTGAACTGAATGTGTTTTTCAAGTGTTCGTTTAGTGAGAAGCAGACTAATGAGGACTTTGTGTTTGTTGTAGTTTTTACAGGAAGATGAAGATGTTTGTGGTGTTTGTGATCCTCGTGCACGGTAAGATAACCTTCCTCCCTCTGATCTGATCATTAGTCCAACATCATGTCTTTAATCTGTATTTCTTTCATCTTCACTTCATTAGTCTGTTTAAACTCCAATAAAAACATGAAGAACATATTAAAGGCAGCATATTTTCAATGTTTGTGTAAATCATGATGAATGTAGAAGACTGTACAGTCAGACTGTCCTCAGTTCTGTTCTTCAGGATTATATCTCTGGAGGTTGTTCACATTCTTATAGCTTATATTACCAATAGTATTAATGATCCTAACACACTCATTTAAACACCATGTTGGATCAATACAGTCAGTCTATCAGTTTGTTCTGTTATTGCTCCTGTTTGTGAGTCTGATCACAAACAGGAGCAGATTGAGGATCCAGGAGCAATAAGACCTGAAATAAGGCTGATTGAATCTCTCTGTCTGTGTGACCTCACAGTTTCCCAGCATGCCTCAGCTGTGGAGCTGTATGAGGGGGAGGAGTTTGTCCTGCTGCCCTGTGAGTATCACACATTTGACATGGACGACCCCTCAGTGGTGTGGAGCCGCTACGATCTCAATCCTCCAACCGTCCACCAGCGTCAGCAGGAAGGTGATGAATTTATATACCAAAACCAGCTTTACAGCGGCCGAACATCCATGATGGCTGACGCTCTGGAAACTGGAGACCTCAGCCTCAATCTGACAAAACTCCGCCTCTCTGACAGCGGCACCTACACCTGCACCGTCAGATCATCAAGAGGAAAACAGAGAGTGAGAGAAGTACAGCTGAAGGTCAAAGGTCAGCAACAAACCTTAAAACCTACTCTAGATCTGTGATTCCCAAACTGAGGGTCCTAAAAGTTTAATGGGGGTGAAGCTTTCTTGACTTTATGGCGTGTAAGAAAACTAAATGAAAATATACACAGTAGGCCTATATCTCAGCATAAGCAGAAGCAGAAGAAAATTAAATATATATTTTTAAGTTAATTGTCTGATAGAACCAAGCATCAGGGACAAGAAAACACTGAATTTGTCAAAAAGAAGCATATTAAGTTGTACGATTATTACAAATAATGAATAAATATATAAAACAGACAGAGAATCGTATAAAAAGTTCCCTAAACAGAAAATAATCTGCTCAAAATTCATTTAAATCAGCTGTTTTACACAAGCTTCTTGCAGTGACTGAATTCACTGTTTGGCTAAATTGTACAGTTTTTAATAAAATATGTCACTCAGTCAGGGATTGTCAGTTTACTAAATGATAGAAAAGGGGTCCCTCAAAGGAAAGGGCTTGGAACCACAGCTCTAGATATAGGTCTGTAGAAAGGTCAGCTTTAGATACGGGTCAGAGGTCAGTTTTCTAGTTTACAGGCTACACACACTTTAGAGGACATTAACTTTGTTACAGTGCTTCAACAACTGAACATCATTTAGTACAAGATGGACACAGATGGTCCCAAACACTCAGGGTCTGTCTCATCTGTATGAATGTCTCCACATGTCCATCAGTCCTGTCTTCTCCCTGAGTATCAGTGGCTCCCACTGAAGACGTGATGGAGAGATAGAAGGAAAAGATGTGAGGAAAGAGGAGTTCAGACAGTTAACACACTCATTTAAACACCATGTTGAATCAATACAGTCAGTCTATCAGTTTGTTCTGTTATTTGTCTTATTGGTATTAAACTGTGCTGATGTGGTTTCAAAGTCTAATCACAAACACGACCAGATCCAGAAGCAATAAGACCTGAAATAAGGCTGCTGTGATTAAACCTCTCTGTCTGTGTGACCTCACAGTTTACCAGCATGCCTCAGCTGTGGAGCTGTATGACTGGGATGAGTTTGTCCTGCTGCCCTGTGAGTTTCAAACTTTTGACATGGACGACCCTACAGTGGTGTGGAGCCGCTACGATCTCAATCCTCCAACCGTCCACCAGCGTCAGCAGGAAGGTGATGAACTTAAAGACCAAAACCAGCTTTACAGCGGCCGAACATCCATGATGGCTGATGCTCTGGAAACTGGAGACCTCAGCCTCAAGCTGACAAAACTCCGCCTCTCTGACAGCGGCACCTACACCTGCACCGCCAGAGCATTAGGAGGACAACGGAGAGTGAGAAACATACAGCTGCAGGTCAAAGGTCAGCAACAAACCCTAAAAACTAATATATATAGGTCAGTATTGTAGATACAGGTCAGAGGTCAGTACTGTAGATACAGGTCAGAGGTCAGTACTGTAGATATAGGTCAGAGGTCATGATCTTTATGTTTCTGTTCCCCCACAGAACGATTTCCACCCTGGGCTAAAGCTCTCCTGGTTCTCCTGGTTCTCCTGGTTCTTGGTCTTATTGTTTCTGGGGGTCTTTTGGTGCATTTTCGGCAGTATTTCATGTCAGGTATGTCACTACTACATTACCCATAATGCCGATGGTTATCGTCTTTGCTCCTTGACTGCTCCTTGACGGTTTTGTGGTTTTCATAGAAGTATGGGACAGTGAGGTCTGGGATTATAAACCGAGTGTCACACTGTCTACCTGAGCAGCTGCAGCATAAAGAGACAGTGAAAATAGTCTGTTCATAGTCATATCAACCTCTACCTTTTTACTGTCTTCTCCAAAACTTAGCCAACTTTCTTCTTCTTCTTCTTCTTCTTCTTCTTCATGTCTTTCGGGTCTGGTCCCACAGGACTGGTCCATCCCTCAGGTCGGGTCCCCCTAGTGGCCTGGCGCACTTCCGTTTTGTTGAGCGAATTTGCAGCGTTTCTCTCGCAGTTGTTTTGTTGTTTTGTGTGTTTTTGGATTTGCATTATTCCCGTGTTTACAGCAATTTTGGCGTTTGCAGTGCGTTTGCCCTTGTCGGCCACCGTAGAATTGATCTGATCAACTTCAAATTTGGTCAGGATGATGTAAACACCATCACGATTAAAAGTAGTGCTGCTTGTGAGTTGAATCTGAAGGGTGTGTCTCTGCCGTGGCGCCAAGATTTGATGCTTCGCCATGAAACAAGAAGTTGTCATAACTTCGTTGTCCAATCTGCACCATAATGCACGTGCCTGATAAGCCTGAACACATCTGTGTGATAATATTCAGTAAAAGTGGTAGCGCCACCTAGTGGTAACCAGACATATAATTTATTACACTTTTATGTATTTCTCTGAGCAGATTGACCACGTCCAACTGAAATTTGGTCAGAAGACCCTTAGATTGTTGACAATGACATCTTATGAATCTTATGACTTGTTATTGAACCATGTTGCCGACATGGTGAATATCACCTTGTTGTTTTAACATTTGATCACATTTTGGGGGCTAAACAGATTCAAAAACTCATGAAACTTGGCACACACGTCCCACATGGCAGCATTTTAAATTTCATCTGGGTGTTGCCTGTGGGTGTGTCAAAATGGCTCGATAGCGCCTCCTACAAACTTTTAAAAAACCAGCCCTGGTGTCCTGTTTCACGAACATCATGTTGGGACATACAAAAAAGCCTCTTTGAGCCATATCCTAAACCCAACAGGAACTCAGCCATTTTGAATTTAATGTCAAACTGTGAGGCCATCCGGCAATTTCAGGGTTTCTATTTTAACAAACTACTTAGAGCGAGTTGATCAGAACAACTTCAAAATTGGTGAGTACAGTCCAGAGAAGTTCAGGATGCCACAGTATTGAAATCTTAACAACACAATTTGTACTGCGCTTCCATCAATACACCTGGAGAATGTCCGCTCTCTGGCCAACAAGATGGATGAACTGCTGCTCCTCAACAGAACAAATATAGACTTTTACAGATCTGCTGAGATATCTCTATCAACTACTGAATACACTGACATCAAGTTTGGTACATTTAACGTTTTCACTGGATTGGGACAAAATGTGGTTCAGATGTTCATGTTCCATCTCCAGGTTAAAATGAGTCTAATACTTTGGTTTCTGACTAAATGCTAAAAAACTGATGAGCAGAGTTATTATAGTTTGCTTTTTTCAGTAGGTTTGTTATTTATAGTCTGTTATAATCAATGTAATGTGACAGGTTGAAAAATAATAAATAATATTAAAAAAATAAAAATAATAAAAACAAGTCCCACTAGATTTTAAATCTAAATATCAGATTATCTGACTGACTTAGAAATAGATTTTCTGCAGTGCAGCTGATGTTGTGGTTTGTTGTCCTCTCAGTCTACCAGGTGGAGGTGGATTCAGGGGTGGAGTCTGTCCTGCTGCCCTGCAAAACCACAGTTCACCTGCTTAAGCAGGTCACAGTGGAGTGGACGGACAGTGACAACTGGAAGGTCCATGTGTATCAGAACGGTTCTGATCAGCCTGAAGAACAGAACCAGGATTACAGAGACCGAACAGAGATGAAGAGAAACCTGCAGGAACCTGGAGACCTCAGTCTGACCCTGAAATACCCCACAGACAGAGACAGAGACACCTTCACCTGCACCGTCTACAACAGGGAGAGAAAGATCCTGATGGAGAAACAAGTGCTGCTCAAGGTCAAAGGTCAGTGCTGTAGATACAGGTCAAAGGTCAGTTCTTTGAATATTGTATCATACTAACGAAAGCTGCAATAGAATGTTGTACAGAGAGAGAGAAAAAAAACAGTTTCAACAGGTCAAAGGTGTTTGTAAAATATATATAGCTAGTAGCTATATTGTAATTAAGCTAAGCTAATAGCTATATTGTAATTAAGCTAAGCTAATAGCTATATTGTAATTAAGCTAGTTGCTATATTGTAATTAAGCTAGTAGCTATATTGTAATTAAGCTAAGCTAATAGCTATATTGTAATTAAGCTAAGCTAATAGCTATATTGTAATTAAGCTAGTTGCTATATTGTAATTAAGCTAGTAGCTATATTGTAATTAAGCTAGTTGCTATATTGTAATTAAGCTAGTTGCTATATTGTAATTAAGCTAATAGCTATATTGTAATTAAGCTAGTAGCTATATTGTAATTAAGCTAGTTGCTATATTGTAATTAAGCTAGTAGCTATATTGTAATTAAGCTAGTAGCTATATTGTAATTAAGCTAAGCTAATAGCTATATTGTAATTAAGCTAGTAGCTATATTGTAATTAAGCTAATAGCTATATTGTAATTAAGCTAGTTGCTATATTGTAATTAAGCTAAGCTAATAGCTATATTGTAATTAAGCTAAGCTAATAGCTATATTGTAATTAAGCTAGTTGCTATATTGTAATTAAGCTAGTAGCTATATTGTAATTAAGCTAAGCTAATACCTATATTGTAATTAAGCTAGTAGCTATATTGTAATTAAGCTAGTAGCTATATTGTAATTAAGCTAGTAGCTATATTGTAATTAAGCTAGTTGCTATATTGTAATTAAGCTAGTAGCTATATTGTAATTAAGCTAGTTGCTATATTGTAATTAAGCTAGTAGCTATATTGTAATTAAGCTAGTAGCTATATTGTAATTAAGCTAAGCTAATAGCTATATTGTAATTAAGCTAGTTGCTATATTGTTATTAAGCTAAGCTAATAGCTATATTGTAATTAAGCTAAGCTAATAGCTATATTGTAATTAAGCTAAGCTAATAGCTATATTGTTATTAAGCTAGTAGCTATATTGTAATTAAGCTAGTAGCTATATTGTAATTAAGCTAAGCTAATAGCTATATTGTAATTAAGCTAAGCTAATAGCTATATTGTAATTAAGCTAGTTGCTATATTGTAATTAAGCTAGTAGCTATATTGTAATTAAGCTAGTAGCTATATTGTAATTAAGCTAGTTGCTATATTGTAATTAAGCTAATAGCTATATTGTAATTAAGCTAGTAGCTATATTGTAATTAAGCTAGTTGCTATATTGTAATTAAGCTAGTAGCTATATTGTAATTAAGCTAGTAGCTATATTGTAATTAAGCTAAGCTAATAGCTATATTGTAATTAAGCTAGTAGCTATATTGTAATTAAGCTAATAGCTATATTGTAATTAAGCTAGTTGCTATATTGTAATTAAGCTAAGCTAATAGCTATATTGTAATTAAGCTAAGCTAATAGCTATATTGTAATTAAGCTAGTTGCTATATTGTAATTAAGCTAGTAGCTATATTGTAATTAAGCTAAGCTAATAGCTATATTGTAATTAAGCTAGTAGCTATATTGTAATTAAGCTAAGCTAATAGCTATATTGTAATTAAGCTAAGCTAATAGCTATATTGTAATTAAGCTAGTAGCTATATTGTAATTAAGCTAGTAGCTATATTGTAATTAAGCTAGTAGCTATATTGTAAATAAGCTAGTTGCTATATTGTAATTAAGCTAAGCTAATAGCTATATTGTAATTAAGCTAGTTGCTATATTGTAATTAAGCTAGTAGCTATATTGTAATTAAGCTAGTTGCTATATTGTAATTAAGCTAAGCTAATAGCTATATTGTAATTAAGCTAGTTGCTATATTGTAATTAAGCTAGTTGCTATATTGTAATTAAGCTGGTAGCTATATTGTAATTAAGCTAAGCTAATAGCTATATTGTAATTAAGCTAAGCTAATAGCTATATTGTAATTAAGCTAGTAGCTATATTGTAATTAAGCTAGTAGCTATATTGTAATTAAGCTAGTAGCTATATTGTAAATAAGCTAGTTGCTATATTGTAATTAAGCTAAGCTAATAGCTATATTGTAATTAAGCTAAGCTAATAGCTATATTGTTATTAAGCTAAGCTAGTAGCTATATTGTTATTAAGCTAAGCTAGTAGCTATATTGTAATTAAGCTAGTAGCTATATTGTTATTAAGCTAGTAGCATTAGCTCTGTGGCTCATAGCATAGCATTAGCTCTCTGTAACGTTAGCTCGTAGCGTAGCATTAGCTCTCTGTAACGTTAGCTTGTAATCAGTCAATAAAGTTATTACAAACTGCTGCTGCTGTCTGTACAGCTGATGTTGGGGTTTGTTGTTCTCTCAGTCTGTCAGGTGGAGGTGGAGGAGGGGGCGGAGTCTGTCCAACTGCCCTTTAAGACCACAGCTAACCTGCCTGAGGACGCTACAGTGAGGTGGATCCGCTATGAACCTTACAGGACGGTCCATGTGTATAAGAACGGTTCTGACCGGCCTGACAAACAGAACCAGGATTACAGAGACCGAACTGAGATGAATGACGACCTGCTGAAAGCTGGAGACCTCAGTCTGACCCTGGAATCCCCCAAAGAGAGAGACACAGGAACATACTGCTGCAACGTCTACAACAAGGAGGGAAACTTCCTGAGAGAGAAAATAGTGGAGCTCAAAGTCAGAGGTCAGTGCTGTAGATACAGGTCAGAGGTCAGATGTCTCTGTGTCTGTCTGTGTCTGACTGTCCTCTGTCTCCTCTGCAGGGAGAACCAGGAACAGAAGCAGCTCCATTGATCCAACTCCTCTGATGGCTGATCAATCTGTTTGATTGGTCTGTTGATCAATCTTTGATTATTGATCTTGTTGAAGGGGCTCAAAGGAAGAGAATGTCAACGTTCAGCTTTCAGTGTTTCCTCTCTTCATCGTCTGAATGAACCTGCAGTCCATACTGTGATTGATTGATTGATTGATTGATTGATTGATTGTTCTCATGTAGCTCTATAATGTTTCTCTGATGTTTGTGTATTCAGCTTCTATACATATATATCTGGCTGTGTCTCAGGAGGTAGAGCGGGTCGTCCACTGATCAGAAGGTTACTGGTTCGATCCCCGGCTCCTCCCGCTGCATGTCGAAGTGTCCTTGAGCAAAATACTGAACCCCAAACTGCTCCTGATGCTGAATCACTGTATGAATGAGTGAATGTGTGAATGAGTGAATGTATGAATGAGTGAATGTGTGAATGAGTCAGCTGAACTGTTCTCATGTGTTTGAATCCATAAAGTGTTGTGAGCAGATGAGTTATGGATTCGATCATTTCACACTCTGTTTAGAGAATGATGAATATTGAGGAGAACAACTGTAAATAAAGCTCAAATGTACAGAAATCATTTCTCCACTCTGACAGCATCATGAAAATGGATCTAAAGCTGTGAGAATGATGGATTCAGGAGGCATCAAAACTTTGATTACTACTCTCTTCTGAAATAACAAAACTGCTCAGTGTGACGGCCTTATTGTGTTCCTCTTGCTTGGTTGTTTACTCTTTGTTTCAGGTAGTAAGGGGTGGAGCTGAGATTACTCTCTGCTGCAGCTCACCTGAGCAGACTCTCTCACTCTCTTCCTCTGGCTGCTGACTGAACTGTTGGGTTTTGTTTGTGTTCTGGGTTTTACATTCATACATATACACCTCACCCTTCACTCACATATTAAACTGTACTGATTATTTTGGTGTTTACTTCATTAAATTGTCATAACAATTCACAGACTGTGTGGTCTCCGTCTTTGTTCCACTCTTTTGAGCCAGGTTGTGACTTCAGTTTGCCTTTAGTTATTGATGATACTCATCTATGTGAAGACACTGATCACGTTAATGATTTCTCACAATAATTATCAACAATGACTTTAAAAGGTGGGAAACAGATATTAACTAATCTATTAACAATATTCAATCTCATATTTAGAAGAGGCCTGAGGGCGACTATATTCCAGTATAAAGTGTCTGTTACACTCCGGTTGTATTATAGCAGAGTTCAACTGTTTATAGCTCATTTAAATATCTTTAATTAAACATTAAAAAGAAAATAGAAAAAAGATTTCATGTAAAATTAAAGCTAAAAACTGTTTTTAAATTATAGAAAATTCTGTTATTTTCTGTTATTTTTCAGTATTGCTGGAATATTACTAATAATTTATTTTACAGTGTATTTACATGTTAAACAAGTTTAATACACAGAATATAATATAATAAATAATAATGAATATAATAATAGTTCCAGTGTAAAGTGTCTGTTACCCTCCGGTACGGTAGGGGGCGCCACGCAGCTCTAACTTCGGTTTGTGGAAGAATCCGGAGCGGAACTTTTGGTGCGGACGCTTGCGCATGCGCATCACCAAGAAACCGCTGAAGTTGTGTGGTGAAAGTTTTTACTCTCCGGAAGGAAATGGCGGCAGTGAACGAGCTGCTGGTGTCCGCGGGGGATCCGGTGGATCCGGTGGATCCGGTGGACTGTAAACCGACCAGAGCGGAGATACTGAGAGGAATCGTTACCGACAAACTGACCGCCGCCGCGCGGGAGATCTTAGCGGTGGTCGAGAGAACCGTGGCCGGGTACGAGGAGGAGACTGCGGGTCTGAGGCTGGAGGTCGACCGGCAGAGGAAGCACCTGGAGGCTCTGCTGCTGCCGCGGGTCGCTCTCTGTAGGATCGGTGGGTCCCTTTATATCTCTGTTTATATCTCTGTTTATATCTCTGTTTATATCTCTGTTTATATCTCTGTTTATCTCTGTTTATATCTCTGTTTATCTCTGTATATCTGTTTATATCTCTGTTTATATCTCTTTATATCTCTGTTTATATCTCTGTTTATCTGTTTATATCTCTGTTTATATCTCTTTATATCTCTATATATCTCTTTATATCTCTGTTTATATCTTTTTATCTCTTTATATCTCTATATATCTCTGTTTATATCTGTTTATATCTCTGTTTATATCTCTGTTTATCTGTTTATATCTCTTTATATCTATATATATCTCTGTTTATATCTGTTTATATCTCTGTTTATATCTGTTTATATCTCTGTTTATATCTCTGTTTATCTGTTTATATCTCTGTTTATATCTCTTTATATCTCTGTTTATATCTGTTTATATCTCTGTTTATATCTCTGTTTATCTCTGTTTATATCTCTGTTTATATCTCTTTATATCTCTGTTTATATGTCTGTTTATATATCTGTTTATATCTGTTTATATCTCTGTTTATATCTCTTTATATCTCTTTATATCTCTGTTTATATCTCTTTATATCTCTGTTTATATCTCTGTTTATATCTCTGTTTATATCTCTATATATCTCTTTATATCTCTGTTTATATCTCTGTTTATATCTGTTTATATCTGTTTATATCTCTGTTTATATCTCTTTATATCTCTGTTTATATCTCTGTTTATATCTTTTTATCTCTTTATATCTCTTTATATCTCTGTTTATATCTGTTTATATCTCTGTTTATCTGTTTATATCTCTTTATATCTCTGTTTATATCTGTTTATATCTGTTTATATCTCTGTTTATATCTGTTTATATCTCTGTTTATATCTGTTTATATCTCTGTTTATATCTCTGTTTATCTGTTTATATCTCTTTATATCTCTGTATATCTCTGTTTATATCTGTTTATATCTCTGTTTATATCTGTTTATATCTCTGTTTATATCTCTGTTTATCTGTTTATATCTCTGTTTATATCTCTTTATATCTCTGTTTATATCTGTTTATATCTCTGTTTATATCTCTGTTTATCTCTGTTTATATCTCTGTTTATATCTCTTTATATCTCTGTTTATATCTCTGTTTATATATCTGTTTATATCTGTTTATATCTCTGTTTATATCTGTTTATATCTCTTTATATCTCTGTTTATATCTCTGTTTATATCTCTGTTTATATCTCTGTTTATATCTTTATATATCTCTTTATATCTCTGTTTATATCTCTTTATATCTCTGTTTATATCTCTTTATATCTCTTTATATCTCTGTTTATATCTCTGTTTATATCTCTTTATATCTCTTTATATCTGTTTATATCTCTGTTTATATCTGTTTATATCTGTTTATATCTCTGTTTATATCTGTTTATATCTGTTTATATCTCTGTTTATCTGTTTATATCTGTTTATCTGTTTATATCTGTTTATATCTCTGTTTATCTCTGTTTATATCTGTTTATCTCTTTATATCTGTTTATATCTCTTTATATTTATATCTGTTTATATCTCTTTATATATTGAGCATGGCGTTAGTTCAGGCAGGGCACGAAGTCAGGCTTAGCTTTCAGTTACAGCTATATCATACGAGCACAGCTAGTCATAAACATACATCCGCTGATTCCTCTAAGCTTCCCATTGGATACCATACACAGTCAGCTGACAGCTCACCTGATTTCCTCAAGCATCCAATTGGCAAACATCATGCATGGCGCCTTATTTAAGCTGCTTTAGCCTGCCTGCCTATCTCTGCTGCTCCCTCTACAAGCCTGTTTACCAGGATGTTGTGTGCGTTACTTGTGGTTTGTCGTTTGTTTCTACTTGTCCTGTCTGCGGTGAGTATGATGGCGAGTCGATTGCATTGTGAAGTCTCAGCAGCGATCTCGGCTGTTGGGGAGAGTCTCGCTTTGAACAACATCCGCAGTTCTGTCCGGCTGCTCTGGTTCTGGAGGGTCCGCAGAAGGGCGGCTCCGCTGCGGTCCCGGCTCCGGCTCCGGCGCTGCGCTGCGCTGCCTTCCAGGGGAGCGCGGGTCCCAGGCGCAGCGGCCGGCTCCACCTGTCTTGCTTGTCAGTTCTGTCCAACATCCGGTTGTCGCTTGCCGTCATGGGTTCAAGGGTCCAGGGTCGGTTCGGCACGCCAGGCCGGCCAGTCTTCATCCGCAGTTGGCCTGTTTCCCTCTTCGCTGTCTGCAGGTAGAGCGCGTGGTCCCACAGGTGCAGCGCTTGACGATGACGTCACAACAGCTTGTTTTGACGGCGTCACATTTCCGCCGAGAATGCTGGGAAGTGGAGTCCCAATCACCATAGGGAAGAACGTGCTGCCTCTCAAAAAGGGGGGCATGAGAGATAAACCTTCAACCCCAGTAAACGTCCCTGAGCTGGGGAAGGCGCTAAGAAAGCATCTAAACACTGTTAGTGAATTATCTGTTATAGGGCTGGTTCATGGTTCTTAGCTGGGCTGACTTGGTTGCAAAACCTACAATCTGCTTTGAAGAGCTGAGATAGTCGATGCTTTACTGAAGAGATAACAAAGGTTCATATTGGTCCATTCATAAATCGCCTTCTCAACAAGCATTAAGGTATAGCTACCAGGAAATATTCAGGGAAAATAAATAAACATAATTATAAATGTATCTGCTCTGCAAAGGTGAAACTAAGGTATAAATAGTTTAAATCCTCTGGCACTTTTCCTTATTTTATGCTATAATCTACAATGCCATCAGTTGATTAAAGAAGCATGTAGAGGCACATGGCTAGCAAGGCAGATGTCACAGATGCATTTAAGTCATGTATTACACCTTCACATTGGTATCTGTTCGGTTTAAATGAAGAGAAATGTACTTCTCAGTTAGGCTCACCTTTGGTTGTTACAGCAGCCTCACATATTTGACACTTGTCAGAGGCTCTCTGCTGGATTCTTTTAATAACTGCAACTGCTTTCGTGCTCCATCTCATAGACGGTTTTCTGTTAGTTGACTATCAATTCAAAATCAGACCATGCATTTTTGCTCTTAAATATACCTTTAAAACATTAGGTCTTCTGCTATCCAAGGAGAAACATCAGACCCTGTAAGGCTAGAGTTCTAGGCTTCACTCTAGATAGTGTACTGATGCAAATCGCATCAAAGAGGTAATGAAAGCAGCAGGCAGTAGTAATTTCCAAAAGAGAACTGCTCTCCTTGCTTAGACATCTTAAATTGGCATGTGTGTATTACCCAGGGAAGTTCCCTTATATCCAGGCTTCTGGACCTCTCCGATTTATAGAGAACTCCATGATATGGTGAGCTTGGATAAGGGCTGCAGATCCGAGCCCCAGTCCTGATCTATTCTGTGTGATAAATGGTATGGCATCTCCTTATTTTACAATGAGCAGCTAGAATCATCATTTGCCATTAATTATAAAAGACGCAGCATATTGAGTACATATAAATAAATCGAACACTGTGTGCCAGTTCACCCTGGGAGCTTTATGTCAACAGCAAGGTCTAATAGTGTGACTGCTATGATCTACTAGATCACTAATGAACAGCTTTGCTGAGCTTAGAAGACAGAGAGCAGACATGAGGGGCATTTAGGGAAGAGCAATGGATCCACAGTTTTCGGTGTTGTGTACAGAAATAATGGCGATATAATTAATTCAAACATACAGTAGAAGTGGCATGATTGACCTGTATGATAACCGCCCTTCTGTAGGTTTTGGGGGGGTATTTTAATAATCAGTGGTTCACAGACATATGGCTAAAATACTGTCATCCTTGCCAGCTAATGCCTCTTCTACCTTTTTAATGATGTACCCAATTGTTGTTTCATGTGTCTGTGGGGAAAACACTGGTCAAGGTAACAATCATGTTTTTGTGACACATGAGGCAACTGCCAACATCATTTACAAGGGCGTTCTTCAGTTCCATTCATTAATAGATTTGTAAGGCGCCTCACTTGGTTATCTATGTTGGGTAAATTCATTATTAGAGCAGCTCATATTCCATGCTTGGATAAAAATTGCTGATATTGGCCTGGATTGAATTGCAGAATTTCGCCAGCTGTGCCCGGAGGCAGCGCCATCCAGCTGACTTGCCCCCCCCGTTTTCTCAAACCGTGTTAGACTAAACACAACCATGCAATCCTACAGGCTATCTACTGCTCAGTATATGCGATCTGGCTTAGCTAATCTACATTAAATAACTCCTCATTCAATTTGCTTAGGAGCAGCAACAAATGCAGCATCCGTAGCTCCTGTCTCGATGCTAAGGCTATGGGTAATGTTCATTATCTGCTTACGAACGATATCTCCGGCCTGAGGGCAAGCAATTCTTGATGCTCAGAAAGCAATGAGTGCCCTGTAATTCCGGCTTAAATTCATTAATGTATAGCAATTTCTGGGGATATCTCTAGCATACTTAGCCATGTACTTCAACTAGTGTCTGCTTAGACGTATTGGTTTATAGTCCTGCTGGCTCCTCTTAATGGCACTTCCATGTAGCTCATGGAAGGGAGGTTGCCTGGTGTGGTTCTTTGGGGGTCTCTGCTGCCGCTCTCCTTGTTTTAAACTTTTCCGTGAATGCACATGGAAGGGCAGGGAGGTGTGCTCTCCCTGCCTTAAGGTTTTCCACGTAGGCATGTGGAAGGACAAGGAGGTCCCATACAGAGCCACACCACTAAATATAACACACTGTTTGGGAAATATGTTTTGCTGGCTTAATTTAAATATTCTTCTAGCATAACTTCTTTGGGATCTCTTTATTAATCCTCAGCCAAGTTACTTAAACTAGTATCTGCATAAGTTATTGGCTTTATTACTGTCATTTATTTCTTACAAAAATTTGTGCTGCTGGCTCCTCTTACTGGCACTTCCATGTAGCTCATGGAAGGGAGGTTGCCTGGTATGGTTCTTTGGGGGTCTCTGCTGCCGCTCTCCTTGTCTTAAACTTTTCCATGTATGCACATGGAAGGGCAGGGAGGTGTGCTCTCCCTGCCTTAAGGTTTTCCACGTAGGCACGTAGGAAGGACAAGGAGGTCCCAGAACAGAGCCATACCGCCAAATGTAATTCTGCTTGGAATATAAGATATTTTGACGAAAGTGGTCCTGACTGAAATTGAGCATAGCGTTAGTTCAGGCAGGGCACGAAGTCAGGCTTAGCTTTCAGTTACAGCTATATCATACGAGCACAGCTAGTCATAAACATACATCCGCTGATTCCTCTAAGCTTCCCATTGGATACCATACACAGTCAGCTGACAGCTCACCTGATTTCCTCAAGCATCCAATTGGCAAACATCATGCATGGCGCCTTATTTAAGCTGCTTTAGCCTGCCTGCCTATCTCTGCTGCTCCCTCTACAAGCCTTTTGCACCCACCTCCACCCCAGCTCCTCCTTTTTATGTTGTTTCTAATTAATCAATGTCATTTTCTGATTGCCATTGATGCTGCTCTGTTCTGTACCCGGGGGTCTCTGCTGCCGCTCTCCTTGTCTTAAACTTTTCCATGTATGCACATGGAAGGGCAGGGAGGTGTGCTCTCCCTGCCTTAAGGTTTTCCACGTAGGCACGTAGGAAGGACAAGGAGGTCCCAGAACAGAGCCATACCGCCAAATGCAATTCTGCTTGGAAAATAAGTATTTGACGAAAGTGGTCCTGACTGAACTCTGTTTATATTTCTGTTTATATCTGTTTATATCTCTGTTTATATCTGTTTATATTTATATCTGTTTATATCTCTTTATATCTGTTTATATCTCTTTATCTCTGTTTATATCTCTGTTTATATCAGTCTATATCTCTTGGACCAGGTCCAGATCCAAACCCACTAACCCTAGACCTGTCAGATCTGGACTTGGAGTCCGCAGCAGACTCTAAATAAATAAATAAAACGTAATTACTCGGTGAGTAACGTATACTGATACCGACCTTTGTGTCTGATCCAGAGGAACCTGCATGGGAAGAGGAAGAGGAAGAGGAAGAGGAGGAGGAGGAGGAGGAGGAGGAGGCTGGAGGAGGTGAACTCCCTGAGGAGGAACAGCTGCACACAAGTATGTCTTCTACATTTACTCAAGTACTACTGCCCCAAATCCCACACTCGACCTTTCAATAAAATAAAAGATCTGTGGTAATAAATACTGCAAAATCAAAAGTTTGACTCTTTGTCTTTCGTTTTTTCCGTTCAGATGTGGAGGACTCGGGAAGCCGGGACGTCTCAGGCCACGTTGAGGAAGACGAGGGTGAAGATGAGGAGGAGGAGGAGTCTGCTGAGGAGCCAGTACTGAGCATGAATCTAGATCAGGAGGATCTGAGGGACCCAGAATATCAGACAGCAACAAGGTTCAAATATAATATTTATTCTTTGTGAGGGAGAAAGAAATATTTAGTTATGTGAGACCAACACAGAACTACACTGAAGCATTGTTAACAGTTTTCATTGATTGTATAATATTCTTGCAGAGGTCAGTCTGTGAAGATGAAGGGCAGGAGACGGGATCCTCTAAAACTTAGAGTCTGTCTGTTACAGGATCACACCAATGTGCTCAAAATCGGTGGTAAGACGTGAAATGTGTCCAGTCTATGAAGCAGCTAGCTACATTTAAACCAGCACGATGTAAGTGTTGGTATTTGGTGCCCACAGTTTTAATCCCACTGTGGTAAATATGGACAGCTGTACATTTGTTATGATAAAAAACTAGCGACAGCTTTGCTGAAGCAGCCAGACATCAAGCAAATCCAACAACACAAGACATAGCAGACAATTCCTAAGTTACAGGACAGGACAGTGCTGTAGATACAGGGCAGAGGACAGTGCTTTAGATACAGGGCAGGGAACAGTGCTGTAGATACAGGGCAGAGGTCAGTGCTGTAGATACAGGGCAGAGGTCAGTGCTGTAGATACAGGGCAGAGGTCAGTGCTGTAGATACAGGGCAGAGGACAGTGCTGTAGATACAGGGCAGAGGACAGTGCTTTAGATACAGGGCAGAGGACAGCGCTGTAGATACAGGGCAGAGGACAGCGCTGTAGATACAGGGCAGAGGACAGCGCTGTAGATACAGCGCTGTAGATACAGGGCAGAGGACAGCGCTGTAGATACAGGGCAGAGGACAGCGCTTTAGATACAGGGCAGAGGACAGCGCTTTAGATACAGGGCAGAGGACAGCGCTTTAGATACAGGGCAGAGGACAGCGCTGTAGATACAGGGCAGAGGACAGCGCTGTAGATACAGGGCAGAGGTCAACTTAAACATTGTGATGAATTTGTCCGTGTTAGTGTTGAAGTCCCCGGTTAACGAGCTGAAGTGTCCCCGAGGCCTTCGGGAGCCCGACTTCCTGAACCTGCTGAGGTCCACCTTCCCTCAGGTGACCGGACAGTTTGACGTCTTCACAGTTGACGCAACCAGGAAACTGACACCACTGAAACTACAAACACTGACACCAGAAGAGATCCAAAGGTCCATCAAATCCACGGGGAAAGGAAGATCGGCTCTGTATATCCGAGCACAGGTAGATCCTCAAAGGGAAACTATTTACAGCATACTGAGCCAGCACCAGTGATCAATACACACATTATTAAAGCATTAATCAAACTAATAACTAACAGCAGTCAGACAACCTCATCAGACTTTGGCAATTAGCTAAACGTGGACATTTTGAGCATTCAGCTACTAAAGGTTGAGAATTAACTCCTGTGATCAACTGTTGATTTCTTCCAGAGAGCAGAGAAATCGCTGATCAACACGGAGCAACTTCCTCCTCCAGAGAGCGAAGACGAAGCCACCAGTGACGCAGGAAACGCTGAGTGAGTCAAGTGAAGACTGTGGACGGTGTCTTTAGGAGCTGGGTGTTAATAATACAACCTTATATAATTTAAAGATAGATGTTCCCAACGTGTTAATCTTTAAGCATCCTCAGTTTCACATTCTGATTGTGTCAAAGATGAAGATACATTTAAATAATTCAGCTGCTTATTTTCTTCCTTCAGTGCTGTGGACACCAACAGGGAGTCTGCTGAGGAGCCAGTACTGAGCATGAGTCTAGATCAGGAGGATCTGAGGGACCCAGAATATCAGACAGCAACAAGGTTCAAATATAATATTTATTCTTTGTGAGGGAGAAAGAAATATTTATTTATGTGAGACCAACACAGAACTACACTGAAGCATTGTTAACAGTTTTCATTGTTTGTATAATATTCTTGCAGAGGTCAGTCTGTGAAGATAAAGGGCAGCAGACGGGATCCTCTAAAACTCAGAGTCTGTCTGTTACAGGATCACACCAATGTGCTCAAAATCGGCGGTAAGACGTGAAATGTGTCCAGTCTATAAAGCAGCTAGCTACATTTAAACCAGCACGATGTAAGTGTTGGTATTTGGTGCCCACAGTTTTAATCCCACTGTGGTAAATATGGACAGCTGTACATTTGTTATGATAAAAAACTAGCGACAACTTTGCTGAAGCAGCCAAACATCAAGCAAATCCAACAACACAAGACATAGCAGACAATCCCTAAGTTACAGAGGACAGTACTGTAGATACAGGGCAGAGGTCAGTGCTGTAGATACAGGGCAGAGGACAGTGCTGTAGATACAGGGCAGAGCACAGTGCTGTAGATACAGGGCAGAGCACAGTGCTGTAGATACAGGGCAGAGCACAGTGCTGTAGATACAGGGCAGAGGACAGCGCTGTAGATACAGGGCAGAGCACAGCGCTGTAGATACAGGGCAGAGGACAGCGCTGTAGATACAGGGCAGAGCACAGCGCTGTAGATACAGGGCAGAGGACAGCGCTGTAGATACAGGGCAGAGGACAGCGCTGTAGATACAGGGCAGAGGACAGCGCTGTAGATACAGGGCAGAGGACAGCGCTGTAGATACAGGGCAGAGGACAGCGCTGTAGATACAGGGCAGAGGTCAACTTAAACATTGTGATGAATTTGTCCGTGTTAGTGTTGAAGTCCCCGGTTAACGAGCTGAAGTGTCCCCGAGGCCTTCGGGAGCCCGACTTCCTGAACCTGCTGAGGTCCACCTTCCCTCAGGTGACCGGACAGTTTGACGTCTTCACAGTTGACGCAACCAGGAAACTGACACCACTGAAACTACAAACACTGACACCAGAAGAGATCCAAAGGTCCATCAGATCCACGGGGAAAGGAAGATCGGCTCTGTATATCCGAGCACAGGTAGATCCTCAAAGGGAAACTATTTACAGCATACTGAGCCAGCACCAGTGATCAATACACACATTATTAAAGCATTAATCAAACTAATAACTAACAGCAGTCAGACAACCTCATCAGACTTTAGCAGTTAGCTAAACGTGGACATTTTGATCATTCAGCTATCAAAGGTTGAGAATTTACTCCTGTGATCAACTGTTGATTTCTTCCAGAGAGCAGAGAAATCGCTGATCAACACGGAGCAACTTCCTCCTCCAGAGAGCGAAGACGAAGCCACCAGTGACGCAGGAAACGCTGAGTGAGTCAAGTGAAGACGGTGGACGGTGTCTTTAGGAGCTGGGTGTTAATAATACAACCTTATATAATTTAAATAATTCAGCTGCTTATTTTCTTCCTTCAGTTCTGTGAACACCAACAAAACCGATCGTCTGTCCAACAACTCGAGACGGCAACAACAGATTGAAACAGCAGAGGACGGAGAACAACGCGGATTATCGGATGACTTTAGCACCCTTTCTCCTGCTGAGAGCGACGGGGACAACGAAGAAGACGAAGAGGAAGAGGTGGAAGAAGATGGCAGAGATGACGACTGGAAACCAGACAGGAAAGAGGAAGGGCTGAGTGACGGCGAAGCTGAAGCGAACTCATCGAAGACGGCGAGGAGGAGGCGAGTCGATCATTCAGGTGTAAAAACAAAGAGAAGGAAGCAGATGCAGTCGTCTCTACAGGCGACCGATGGCGGCGACGCTCCGTCCTGTAAAGTCTGCGGAGCGCTGCACAGGTCAAAGACCATGCTGATTAAACACGCCTTGAGTCACGTGGACGACTCAGAGTGGCGCTGTGGAGTGTGTGGAGAACATTCAGAGTCTGCTGAGGAGCTGAGGAGCCATCTCGAAAGTCACCAGAAAACCCACAGCTGCAACATCTGCGGAAAGTCTTTCCTCACTGTCGGCAGCCTGGAGAGACATGCTACTCTGCACACGGGAGAGAAACCATACAAATGTGACATCTGCCATAAAGCGTATGCACATAAGGCAGGTTTAAGGAACCACTGGTGGGAACATGTGGAGGATAAACCCCACAAATGTGACGTCTGCAGTCAGTCTTTTGCTTTCAAACAGCAGCTGAGGGTTCACAGCAGCACCCACACAGGGGAGAAGCCGTACCGCTGCGACGTGTGCGGGAAATGTGTCACTGACTTTCGAGCTTTATCCCGACACAAGTTGGGTCACAGCGGGGAAAAACGCTACGCCTGTCAGGTCTGTGGGAAGAGATTTTTAATTCCAGCCAAAGTGAAAGAACATGCGAAAATTCACACGGCCCGAGACCGAACGTACCTCTGCGACGTTTGCTGCAAAATGTTTCACACGCGAGGTCAGCTGAAGGTTCACATGAAAACACACAGCGAGGAGAAGATCATGTGCAGCGAATGCGGCAAAGGCTTGTCGGGTCGAGGAGCTCTGAGGAGACACATGATGATCCACACTGGGGAAAGACCGTACAAGTGCTCGGAGTGTGGGCGAACCTTTAACACTCAGAGTATTCTCAGAGCACATCTGAAAACACACTCTGACGTCAAACAGTTTGTCTGCGGGGTTTGTGGGAAAGCGTGCGCCGCAAATATTACCTGACGGTCCACATGAGGACCCACAATGGAGAGAAACCGTACCAGTGCAGCCTCTGCGACAAAGCCTTCACTCAGAGCCACTGTCTGAAAACACACATGAGGAGCCATCAAGGGAAGAGACGTCAGCACTGGATGGACTGAAGTCCTGAAAGGGTCTGTTCCTTTTCTACATAAAGAAAACACAACAGAGCGTGTTCCTTAAAGCTCAGTAAGCCTTGTGTGGACGAGGCTTGTTAATAACGGAGCAATCAAACAGCGTGGCACTAAGTGTTCACTGTAGCTTCATCAGGTCTGTGCTGGTGAAATAAAACTGTATCTGCAGCAGAGAGCGTCAGTGTGTCTCTGCAGTGTGACTGTCGACTGTACAGGACGGACACAGCGAGGGCAGATTGTCACTACTGAATCAATCTATCAGCTGATAGTGTTAATGTCCCGATCTGATCTCACCAATCTGTATCGCTGCCGATCAGTGCGTTCTTTATCTGATCGGTGTCGGCTATGTTGAGCTCTACTGATCCGATCTTTTGTTTTACGTTAGCTGTTTTATGTGCCTCTGCTCGGAGGAGAGACAGCGGGAGAGATCTGACACAACCAGACTCAACAGGCCACTGAAAGAGAAACAAAATACAATAAATAATAATAATTAATTGATGTAATCGGTTGCAGTATAATAGTTACTGAACTAAAAGTTGCGGGGAGAGTCAGCGAGTGGACGACTGCTGTTTAATTACAGCTTCAATAAACGGAGCGAGTCGGTATGTGACAAAGAAACTAGAAACTAAAGACACAGAAAGGTTGATTGTTATTGTCTGTCAGCTGTTACATTATCATCCTGTTGTGTCCTGATGCGACTGCGTTTCTGGGGTTTATTGTATGTTAAATGTTTTTTCTACTGAATAAAATCATTGATCGTTGTTTGTTTGGTGGTAAAATATTAATAAAGTAAATATTCTAAATGCCTCCAAGTTTGATGTTTGTTGGACCACTTTGTTGTGAGTTAATAAAATGTGACTTTAAACTGAGCTGCATTAACACATATTGTTATAAAAAAGGTGGAAAAGCAGTTTTTTTAATGATCCTGTAAAGTATTTGTTCTATAATCCAACATTAAACATTATAACTCAGTAAAGCACGGGGACACTTTTTGTACGTTGCACCAGAACATAAAACTGTAGTATAATATAAATAAAATGTTCACTTCACATTATTTAACATTTTTATGCTATGTAAAGTTATACTATGGAATTACTAAAGTTTACTACATTTATTACATAGTTTAAGTGATATATATGTCAGCCATTAATAGTAATAATATTACTTTACAGTAACTAGAAGTGTAATTAGTTACATTACTTTTGTTGTCTCCTGATCTGAAATCCAACAATTAAATTTACACCACTGATTCATTTTTATGATCGTGGTGGAAATATTACATTACTTTGATTTTAACAAAGAAAACTGAATTTAATCCTCATAAATCTTTTGTTGGGATTATCATAAAGGTAATTATAACTAGTAATGTAACTAATTACTGTTGGCAGGGAGGAATAAGTAAAGTAATCAAGAGTATTAGATTAAGTTTTTTGAGTAACTTTATCGTCAATAGGTCAAAATATTGATAAATGTGTCTGCATTAAAGCCAGAAGAGATAATCTCATCAGTTCCCAGAAGTACGGAAGCCCATTACTGCCAATGTAACAGAGAGAAAGTAAATCATTAAAATATTGACAAACTTTAAATATTTTGACTTAATATCTTAAAATTTTTATATATTTTTAATTTATATTTTACCCCCCTTATTTTTCTGAGTTATTCTTTTCCTTGTCATTCTTTTTCTGTTTTTCGTGGTAATGAATGCGTTCATTGTTTCAAATACTCTCTAAACTCACCAATAAACAATTACTCTGAAAAACAAACCAAAAAAATTGTTTTCAGGTGAATTTAATACGCTTCCATAAATATTGACTTTGTGATATTAAGTCATTATATGGTAAAAGTGTTTTTTTTATTCTTCACATTGGCAGAAATTAGCTCCCGTACAAGCAGCGACAGAATAATTTAGAATAAACTATAAATTACTTTAATTTGTACCTTCAGCTCCATCTTCCGTTGGTTCCAGAGAGAAACGTTCCTCTTTGGTTCATGTTTCCACTCGGACATAATTTCTGTCTGCACCGTCTCCAAACATTCCCGCGTATTTCTGCCGGTAACAACACTTCCGTGCGGTGATGATGCTGCGCCGGAGCCGGTGACAACAACATGGAGGCTGACACCGGGGACGGGAGCGTGTCCACGGCCGAGATGCTGAGAGGAGTCGTGGCCGAGAAACTGACCGCCGCCGCGCGGGAGATCTTAGCGGTGGTCGAGAGAACCGTGGCCGGGTACGAGGAGGAGGCTGCGGGTCTGAGGCTGGAGGTCGACCGGCAGAGGAAGCACCTGGAGGCTCTGCTGTCCATCTCCGCTGAGATCAAACTGGAGGCAGCAGGTCGGTGTCCGGATGAATGTCTGCCGGTTGCACCGCGATGTGTCCTCTCCGCAGAGAGAACCGGAAAGACGAACCTCGTTTGGAAAAACGTTAATTAAATGTTTCTTTGCTTACGGTTAAACTCACCGACGTCTACGGACTCAGTATAAGAACTGTTAATATCACTCATAAATTCGGCCATCATTCAAACTCACTGTCTGCTATACAACGTAAAATAAACGGTACAAAGTCCTCATGACCACGTTTAAATTGGACAAACTCAGCGGTAGAAAGTCAATTTACTCAAGTGCAGTTTTGAATGGAAAACCTGGAAATTCACAGACTACTTTTCTAGTCATGGAAACACCTGGAAATGGATTAAAATGACCAAATACACTGTAAATAATATATGCTGTGTTTGATCCTGTGCTTACGACCTCTGATTTAATTACATATTATATCATATATAACAGTAAAGCGACTACCGATAAACTGTAAACAGTGAACTCAATGACAGTTTGTATAAAACCAGAGATTTGGATGATTTTTTAGCAGATAATTTCCTGTGAATATTGATCAGAGGTGAGTTTTACGGATATTATTAATTTAATAATAACTTAATAGGATTATTTTTTGCCAGATTCAGTGTTTTCTTCTCCCTGGTGCTCGTTCTATTAGTTCTTTGGTTCTTTTTTAAAGCATGATGATGAGTTCAAGGCCTACTGTGTGGATTTTTAAAGGTTTCTAACATGCTTTAAAATCAAAAACTCCTTGCGACGCCTTTCCTCGCCTCCTGAATATTTGTATTCATGTGATTCAGCAGCAGATTTCTGATCATGATCTTGTTTTCATTGATCAACCCTGCTGTCTGTCTCTGATCCAGATGACCAGTTTCCTGTCTGTGAGCCGGCGGCTGGAGGAGGAGCCGAACTCCCCGAAGAGGAACAGCGGCACAAACAGGAGCCGAGTACGTTTGTTTTTATTTATTGTTGTGAAGAATCAAACCTTCACCTCCTGTATTTAATAAAGGAGGCATTAAACAGGTAGTTCTGACCCCGTTGTCCCGCTATGTGTCCAGGTGTGGAAGACAGCTGGAGTCTGGGCCTCGTCTGCTCCACTGAGGAACGGATGGAGGAGGATGAAGAGGATGAAGAGGAGCATCCGGAACATCTCACAGAACCAGATGGTGAAGAATCATCAAGGTTAGAAGTTCCTACAGTCATCAATCACACTACACGTATCAGAAACCTCAGAGATCGGCATCCATCACCCAAACAAACCAACACAAATATACAGAACTTCCTGTGTTGTGTTTGTTCAGGGAGAAGTTATCGAGACTCGTTAGAGCTGGTTTATAATCAGAGTTCTCCTCGAAACTTATAGACTACTTTTACTTTCATCCACACACCTGGAAATTCATTAAAATGACCAAATATCCTGGAAATGTTTTAATTGTACTTTGGTCTCTTTCACTCTGATTTGTATTCAGTTAGAAACCGTTCTGAACCTGCATCAGTAAACAAGGAGGTTAAAATGTGTCGATTTTAGAAATAAATCATATGATCACCTGCTGTCCTGTATTGAAGTGACAAATGAATCTTCTATGAAGCCACCTGGAGCCGCAGTGTAACAGTGTACTGCAGGGTCAGATAGCACCACCTAGTGGCGATCTCAGTGATTGCACAATTAAAAAGTAAACAAAATTATTACATTTATTCTTATGTCGTCAATCAGAACATCATAAACTCAGGTACAGGTAGTGTGGCTCCAACGTGTGTTGACAAAAAAAACAAAAAAATAATAAAGAGTGGGAACTGGAACTGTTGTCATAGCAACGCGTTATTGATCCCAAACCAAGTTTGGTGTATTGGCGGCGAGTCGTTGTTGATCATGGCGAAGAGTTTTGGTGTGAAACGCCCAAATCAGCAACCACACAGTGAGACTGAATCCTAAAGACAGCATCATGTCTTCTTTCTTCAGGTTTTTGACTCCCACAGTTCAGTCTGACAGGAGGAGTGCTGACGGACCTGCGATCAGGGAATCAGAGGACCACATAGACCTCAGGATCCGCATCCTGCAGGACTATCAGATCGATGTGCTCTCACCCCACGGTAAATTTAATCAGTCAGTCGGTAAAACTTTCCCAAGAATTGAACCAGTGTTGTCAGCTGGTGGTCTTTAGTAACGGCCGAGCTAACTGAAAGCTGTCTTTGTGTTTCAGCGTATACGAAGTTCCCGCTTCTGGAGCTGCAGTGTCCTCGTGGGATGCAGGAGGCGGACTTCCTGGACCTGCTGAGGTCCACCTTCCCTCAACTGGCTGCTCAGGAAACTTTTGACCTCTTCTTAACTGACAAAATGAAGAAACTACACCCACTCAGAGTGGAGACTCTGACACCAGAGGAGATCTGTAAGACCACTGGACGTGCAACCCTCTTCATCCGACTGAAGGTACTTTATCTGCTGCACCAGTTTAACCTCAGAGACGAGATCTGTTCTCTGCAGCCCTCAACTTCTGTCTTATTTTGACTTATTTGTTATAGGTCAAAATAACAAATATCCTTTGTAAAGTATTTGGTTTGTTTTTGGTGGGAACTTGTTTTAGCTGCCTGAGGGAGTCCAGCCCCAAGAGATTGAACCTCTGCACAGAGAAGATGCTGCTCCAGATTCTCCGTCCACAGATCAAACCGGACTGAACACGAGGTAAAAACACAAGGAGCAGCTTCTCTGTAGGAGTGAGAACAAGTGTATTTCTCTTCTGATCCTTTATGTTATTGTCACCCAGAGTTCAGTCTGACAAGAGGAAGCCCAGCAGACGTCATAGGAGTGAACCTCCGAACCTAATAGATCTCAGAATCTGCATCCTGGAGGACTCTCGGATCAATATGCTCTCAAACAAAGGTAAATGTACTCAGTCACTCTGTCTTGAGTCCTTCGATAAGAAGTTAAAGAGTAATTTCTGTAATTTTAAAGTTGGGGTTCTTCTTCTTCCTGTCACTGATTAACGGCAGACTGGAGGAATCGTTGGTTTATATGCTGCCTGTAAGGGCCACTTAATCCCCGTTACCTACAGTACTGTAGATAAACAAGTACCGTCATGTTTTCAGAATTTTGGCTCATGACGGTTCACGTTACATCTCCACTTCAAAGCCCCAATAATGGTATTTTGGACCTTCCCTACTTGTACAGTACTTCTGAATATCTGTTGCTTTCCGTCACACTTCAGAGAGATCACTTAGATAAAGTATCAAACAGCTCTTACAGCTTTCTCGTCTCGCAGGTTCTTGTCGATCCTGGTGGAGCCTCCTGCCATGGTCCTGCTAGATTGCCGTTGCCATTACTGTTGTTGCTATGCGTCTGTCTGTCTGTCTGTCTGTCTCTCTCTCTCTCTCTCTCTCTCTCTCTCTCTCTCTCTCTCTCTCTCTCTCTCTCTCTCTCTCTCACCCCAACTGGTCGAGACAGACGACCACCCACCTAGAGCCGGAGGATCTGTCCTAGGTTTCTGCCTCTTAACAGGCAGTTTTTCCTTGCCCTTGTCGCCAAGTGCTTGCTCATGGTGGTACTGTTGGGTCTCTGTAATTAATGTTATAAAGAGTTCGGTCTAGACCTGCTCTATTTGAAAAGTGTCCTGAGATAACTTCTGTTATGAATTGGCGCTATACAAATAAAATTGAATTGAATTGAATTAAGGTCCGGAGACATCGGGCCACCTGACTGCCTGAGCGTGTAGAATCCGTGGCAGAGGTCACAGGTGAGAGACATCGCTCTGATTGGCTTTTCAGCTGAAGTGAATCGGTGCACGAGATGAGAAACAGAAGCGAGCAAAGCAGCAAATGACTTCATCAAAAGGAAAAACTAAAGCTTCAACTTCATCTCAGCTGTTTGTTCAAATTCAGAGATATTTAGACAACAAGAAGCTGTTTTACGAAACCGTCTGAGCGAGCGAACCTTGATCCAACGGGCTGTTTTCTTATATCAGCTGTCCGAGGACTCCTGCTGTTCTTTCTCAATGAGGAATCCAGACTACCGCCACCTGCTGGTATGGAGACTTATTAACTCCTGTGCAGGCGAAGAACGTACGTTATAGTTGTCTGTTCGCTGTAGTCAGTTCAGCGTGTTCTAGTATCACTGTTTGGCCCAGACGCAGGCGACGCAACTCCACTTAAGTCACCACTAGTTCTTTGACGTTGATTTGGTGTGTTGGGGCCTTTAGGGACAGACGTACAACCCTCTCTTGAAAGAAGCCAACCCTTTCTGTGGCATCTGGCATTTAGCCAAATAAAATTTTAAAAACTTGTCAGACTCAGAACCAGACCGCCTCGGCTTACTGAGAATAGAGTTTTTGAAGCAGATAAACTTTCAGTCATGTCTCTGTATAAACAAAGTGATGCAGTAAACAGTTGGTGACCAGCAGCCACAACTGTGTCAAGAATTTAAACAGTATAATTTTTAATATAGTTTTATTTGTAGAGCGCCAATTCATAACAGAAGTTATCTCAACAGGTCTTGACCGTACTCGTTTTAACATTATTTACAGAGACCCAACAGTTCCCACAATGAGCAAGACCTTGGTGACAGGGGCAAGGACAAACGTTCTTTGAGGAGGCAGTAACCTCGAGCAGACCCGGCTCTGTTTAATCAGTCGGTCGGTAAAACTTTCCCAAGAATTGAACCAGTGTTGTCAACTGGTGGTCTTTAGTAGCAGCCAAGCTAACTGAAAGCCGTCTTTGTGTTTCAGTGTATAAGAAGTTCCCGCTTCTGGAGCTGCAGTGTACTCGTGGGCTGCAGGAGGCGGACTTCCTGGACCTGCTGAGGTCCACCTTCCCTCAACTGGCTGCTCAGGAAACGTTTGACTTCTTCACATGTGGCACAAAGAAGATACTGCAGCCGTTCAGAGTGGAGGCTCTGACACCAGAGGAGATCTGTAAGACCACTGGACGTTCAACCATCTACATCCGACTGAAGGTACTTTATCAGTAGCACCAGTTTAACCTCAGAGACAAGATCTGTTCTCTGCAGCCCTCAACTTCTGTCTTATTACTCCAGAAAGGTCAAAATAACAAATATCCATTGTAAAGTATTTGGTTTGTTTTTGGTGGGAACTTGTTTTAGTCGCCTGAGGGAGTCCAGCCCCGAGAGAGAGAAGCTCTGCACAGAGAAGATGCTGCTCCAGATTCTCTGTCCACAGATAAAACCGGACTGAACATGAGGTAAAAACACAAAGAGCAGCTTCTCTGTACGAGAGAGAACAAGTGTATTTGTTACGAGTTTCAAATAGTGTAACTGAAGTAACAAATGATTTTGACTGGGGTTCACTGCTCTCAACTCTCCTAGATGCAACCCTGGAAAACAGAATCACAGCGTGAATGAGTGAATGAGCAAACCGCCTTCTTCGTCTCCAAATCTCTGTCTCTTTATTACAAATTTTCAACAAATTATGGTATCAAACAATAACCATACCCCTAGTATAAACATGTTTCAGTTTCAGTGTTCATTTGTTAATTTAAATTTAAACACATTAATACAGTTTTCTCTACTCTCCACACATCAGTGGGCAACATCTCTCACACACACATTCACAGAAATCATCATCTCTATACAAAAATAAATATTGCTTTCTTTAAAGTGCATTAGTATCAAAAGGATAAATCATGTTTTAATCTATATTTATATAGTTATTTCTTTTAACTTCAGAATTCCACCATCCTATTGATTTAATAATATGAAATATAAACCCTCTTTGGCTGTAGATTAATATTTAAATGACTTTAGAGTCAAAACATGAAAACATCATACACATCGGGATAGCGGTTTAACTTATTATACATCTTTAAACACAGACTAGACACCTAACTGCTTCTGTATAACTTTGGGGAGAACTCCCTTTAAGTTTTAAACAACATACCTCTCTTCTCTTAACATTAACAATCATTCATAACATGTCAGGATATCTCAAAGAAACTGAATAAAACATTACCAGGGAGTGAGGACACCAGCACCCAGAATCACACATACAGTCACAGTATACACCTGCTAATTGTTAGCTCGCTAGCTCCATTGTTTACAATGCCCGTTTCCCGCGGTTATAAACGCGACTCTTTACACCTCAAAAATTCCACAACAGACTCCTCACAGCTTCAATACACCACCGTAAATTTCAGGAGAGAACAGTTTGTAATTATTTTTATTAAATACCAACCTGGAAAACAGAATCACAGCGTGAATGAGTGAAAGAGCAAACCGCCTTCTTCGTCTCCAAATCTCTGTCTGAGAGAAGAGGGAGGTGCCTCTCACCTGGGTACCGTGGTGCAACGATCCCCACACTTTGGTTCCGCTTTCTTTTTTTCCCCCTAGATTAATTCTTTTTTTTTAAATTTTTCTATTAATCTTTCACAATAAAATCGGTGTTCTATTTAACACTGCACTGGTTATTGTATTATCCTATAAAGGGTGTATCACACACTCCCCAACAAATAAAAGTGGCTCCTGACACGAGATATCCTCAATAATTTCACTCTGAACATACATTTTCTCTTTTTTTTTTTCAAAACACATTCCAACTCTCAATGAGTGTATCCTTTAAGTCCTTTAAAGTGCGTGTGTCAGATCTCATCTGGTGGGTATGCAATGTATGGTGTATATGTTTCAACAGGTAGGTATAAAATGTATAGAGTATTTGTGATTCAGGTAGGTATTAAAGGTATGATGTATGAGTGGTTCAACAGGTAAGTATGAAATGTATAGTGTATGTATGGTGTTTCAGGTCTCTTCAGGTGAGTATGAAATGTATGTAATTGTCTCTCATGGCGTCTCATCCACAGTGAGCTGGGTACACGACAGGTAAGTAAGGGTATGGGGCGATGGATGGGGGTTGGAAGTGGTGAAAGTATGGTGTACAGAGACACTGGTGAGTACACTGTACTGGTTGGATTCCAACTGCACTCACAGTTGGCCGCGGGTGATAAGCTGGTCGACCCAGGGATGGATAAGTAAACACATAACCTGGCCGTCTTTCTCTGGTGGACTGTCTCAGCGGGATCTGATGTTCAGGTTGTGGTGTGGGGGCATTGTTCTCTTGATGGACAGCATGCAGTTCCTCTTGAACGGTTGCAGGTCGAAGCTGCTCTATGTCCTGTTCATCCTCACTGGATGTCCCCTGTTCTTCCCCTCTAACACTCTCTCTGTCCTGTTCGGGTTCTGCGTGGCTTGTTTCTCCCAGGTAGGTCTCATTCTGTTCAGATCTGTTTTGGGAGTCAGGAGTAACATGTGGCTCAGGTAAGTGACTTTCAGCTCTTGGTCTCTCCGTCGGTATTCGCAGCCAGTAACGAGGCACGCCTTCCTCTTCCTCAGAGTCACTTATATCTGGGCTCTGTGTCTCTCGTGCGGGTTTTGGGGTGTCTGAAGCTCTCTTCTTTCTCTTTCGTGACTCAGCTGTGTTGGTGGTCCGGTTCTGAAGGGACTCTACAGGTAGGTCGTTGACTTGTAACAGGAGGTTCCTGTGTAGGGTGCGAACTGGTCGGCCTCCCGACTCAGGGCTTACTTTGTAGACAGGATTATCTCCAACCTGTTCTCTCACGATGTAGATCAGCTGCTCCCAGTACGGTCTAAGCTTTCCAGGGCCCCCTCGTTCACTGAGATTGCGTACAAGGACCCTGTCCCCAGCCTGAAGAACCACACCTCTGCTCCTTTTATCGTAGTATGCCTTTCCTTTGGAGCTGGACTGTCGGCTGTTTGCGTCTGCTATTCGGTATGCCTCAACCATTTTTCCTGCCCATTTCTCAGCATATCCTCTTGGTCCATTAGTGTCAGTTCCCTCATCTGTTATGAGGCCGAAAAGGATGTCAACAGGGAGGCGAGGATGTCGGCCATACAACAAATAGTGCGGGGAGAAACCTGTTGCCTCATGCTTCGTACAGTTATATGCATGGAGTACATGGGGCAGGTGGTCCTTCCAATTCTCCTTCTCTTTCTCTCCTAGGGTGCGGAGCATCTGCAGTAGTGTGCGGTTGAGTCTTTCCGCCGGATTGCCCTGGGGGTGGTACGGAGAGGTTCTCGAGTGGGCGACACCAGCCAACTGCCTGAGAGTTTTGAAGAGCTCATTCTCAAACTCTCGACCCTGGTCATGGTGGAGTTTTGCCGGATATCCAAATCTGGGGATGTAATCATTGAAGAGCCTGTCAGCAGCCGTCTTACCAGCCTTGTTCCTGGTAGGGTAGGCTTGTGCGAATCTGGTGAAGTGATCAACCACTACCAGGATATACTGATATCCACCCCTGCAGGTTTCCAGGTGAAGGAAATCGATGCACACCAGCTCGAGGGGTGACTTTGACGTAATACTTCCCATTGGTGCTCTTTCATGTGTGGCTGGCTTCTTCTGTTTGATGCAAGAACACTTCCTGGTCACATGCTCCTCTATCTCTCTTTTCATGAAAGGCCAGTAGAATCGCTCCTCGCTAGGCTCAGAACTTTCTCAACACCCACATGACACATGTTGTTATGCAGCTGGGTGAGCACTGTTCGTTTGTAGGTGGTGGGCAGGACCAGTTGTTGTCGACCTGCAGTCTTCCTGTAGAGAAGGTCATTCTCTATGTGTAATCTGCTCCACTCTCTTAACAGCCTCCTTGCGTGTGTGTCCATCCTCTGTTTGTCATCCTCTGTTAGTGGTGTGTCGTTTTCCTTCAACTCCATCACTTTCCCAATAGCGGGGTCTTTTCTTTGTTCCCTCACCAGCTCATCATGATTAATTTCCTGCAGAGGCTCAATGTGAGGTTGGCTATTGGATGTTACGTTGAGAGCTGCCACCCAAGCCACATCTCCTTGTTGTGCTCTCCGGCTTCCTTCCCATACAGCACACACTGCCTCCTCCGATAACTCTTCCGAACACTCAGCCATGAACGTGTCAATGTCCAGGGGACAGCGTGATAAGGTGTCGGCATCGATGTTGGTTTTGCCTGGCCGGTATTTGATGTCAAAGTGGAAATCGGCCAGCTGCCCCACCCACCGGTGACCCCACTGCGTTGAGCTTGGCAGTACTCAGAATATAGGTGAGGGGATTGTTGTCTGTGAAGACTGTGAAGTGTGGGGAGTAGAACAGGTAATCCCGGAACTTTTCACATACCGCCCACTTCAACGCGAGAAATTCAAGCTTTCTGCTGTGTAGGTGATAATTTCGCTCCGCCGATGTTAGTGTGCGTGACCCGTATCCAATCACCCTCATCTTCCCATCATGGTTCTGATAAAGAACTGCACCGAGACCTTTTTGGGAGGCATCTGTGTGGAGTGTGAAGGGGCGGTTGAAATCAGGATAGGCCAGCACTGGGGGTTTGGTCAGCCGGTCCACAAGCTGTTCAAGGATCTGTTGGTGTTGTATAGTCCATTCTACCGGGGTTCGGGAGGAATGCTGGTGGCCTTTCGTTTTCCTCGTGGCGGCTTGGGCTGAGAGGTGTTGGGCTTTGACTGGAGCAGGTCGTACAGGGGCTTGGCTACACGTGAGAAGTCCTGCACATATGTTCGATAATAGCTCAGGAACCCCAACAACTGCCTGACGTCCCCAACTGTCTGCGGTGTCTTGTTTTTCAGTGCTCGCACTGCTTCAAGGTCTTTGGGGTCCATTTTTACTCCTTCAGCTGACACCAACCGGCCGACATATCGGACCTCTTTGCGGAAGAGCTCACATTTCTCCGGCTTCAGCTTTACCCCGTGGTGTTGCAAGGCTTGGAGGACTTTGCGTAGCACCTGCACATGCTCATCGAAGGACCTGGAGAAGCACAACACGTCGTCGAGGTAAGGGATACAGCACTCATCTCTCAGAGTGTCGAGCATTCCTTCCATGCTCCTTTGAAAGGCTGCTGGGGCATTTGATAACCCAAAGGGTATTCGGACCCACTCGTAGAGTCCCCATGGGGTTATGAATGCAGTCAGGTACCTTGATCCTTCAGCAATAAAGCCTTGATGGTAGGCTTTCCCCTGATCGAGGATCGAAAACCAGGCGTAGCCTCCCAGGGAGTCAGTGAGGTCCTGAATTCTGGGAAGAGGGTGACGGTCCGGCACGGTTTTGTTGTTGAGGAGCCGGTAGTCAACACACAGGCGTAAGGACCCATCTTTCTTCCTTACACAGATGACAGGAGCTGAATAAGGTGACTGGGACTTCACAATCCATCCTTTAACCAACAGCTCCTGGATGTACTCCTTAACTTCCCTGTAGAGTGGTTTCGGGATGGATGCGTAGGATCTCTGAACTGGAATGTCATCCTTAGTCCTGATCTCCATCTGTAGGGAGGGGATACACCCTATGTCGTCGCTGTTACGGGCGAATGCTCCGCATTCCTCGTAGAGTACTTCCTTTACTGCCTGTTGTTGTTCAGGGCTGAGGTG